GTGAGTAGTGATAAGTTAATATTTTTATTAACTTATCACATACAAGTTAATGTTCGCATATTTACACTCAGTGCAACGAGTCGCAGTGGCCTCATGCTTAGCACGCTGAACCTTGGATCGAGCGGCCTGGATTCGAGCCCTCTCTCAGTGTCTTTCTTCACCGGGGTGCATAAATAGGCAACGCCGAATTTAATGCTGAGGGGTACCCCTAGAGGCATCCTACCCAGGGAGAAGGGGGGAGGGGAAGGGATGAAACAAAAGCTTGGGCATTCGTGGAAAACCTTAACTTTTTCCTGCAAAAGGTTAAAGACAACTTGCTTCCGAGGCGAGATCTTTGATCAACAGAGGAGATTTGGAAGTACGTTTGGAATAAGGACTAGCTGAGAAGTTACAAAACGGACTTTGTCTCATACAAACTCAGTTTACTTACATAGGTTGATAAAAAAAAGTTCAACACTTCAGTCATAAAATATATTATACAAGTTTCTCTCTTTTTTACAAACATTAATTCATATAGGAAACTTTCAAGTCACAAACAAGACAGTTATATTTTACGAGAATATAATGCGGTGTTCAGACCAGAACTTTCCAATTGCTACAGCTATCTTACACTGAATAACAGTCGTTACGTAGGCTTAAATACATGAAATCCTCTGTAAGTGGCCACAAAGACATCACCCAGTTTAAACCCCACTCTTCCCTCCCTACATCATTTCTTTTGTCGCCTTTTCTTTGTGTAGGTAAACAGCTGATGTGGATAGGAATTTTGCAGAACACTTTTTTTTACAATTATTTACAAATGCGTAAGAAAAGTATCCTCTCTTGCATAGATTTCGTAGAAAGTGCTAAAAAATAAAACGAGGTTCATAATAAGCTTCAGTTAGCAAAAATAAATAGCTGACTGACAGTTTTCCTCGAGAAAAATTTGAAAGACGAAATGCAAATATACAATTGACGGAAATCAACTGGATTGAAGAAGAAGTATGGTAACACTAATTTTTTGGACTGAATAAATGCGGTATATACAGATAATTGGTAAATACAAATGTAATGGGAGCTTTCAGCAGCAAAGAAAGACTATGAAAATCGTTTGAGCTGTGAGTGCATTTGGCACAATTCGAGCAAAGATAAAATAAATATTCGAAGAAAATTCTTTTTCCACAAAAACCTCTTCAAAAAGTTAACGCTTCTAGACTCGAGATTCTTAAGCAAAAATTAACTGATTCAGAAATTCTCGATAAGAATATATTCAAAATTCATTGGTAACTTATTTCTCGTTTCATTAAAAAGTTAATTTATACAAGATATTCAATAATCGAAAAATGACAGGGACTCCTTCATGTCTGATGCGCCAGGTACTTGAAGTGCTCCGGAGCCAGCTTTCTGTTTTTCTATGATGCGACGCTCCCATGATGTTACATTCAAACTATATAACGGATGAAAACACAAAAGAAACAAAAAAAAAAATTACCTAATGGAGAATAAAGAACTTAATGTCTGATAAATGGTATCGGAAGAGGAAAACTGTTAATAAACAACAACAACAACAACAACAACAACAACAGCATAATTGTCAATAGTTTACTATTTAATGAACTGTCAACTTACTCAATAATTGGCATTATTGACTCCAACTTCGGAAGAACACTGATCAGCGCTGAGTAACAGGGTTTAACAATTCCTTTGAGAAAGGAGATCTTTGAAAGGAAGAACCATCCAAAATAAATAAGAATAAACGCAAACTAGCGCTCTAGCTAGAAAGTTTCTTTTTTTACATCTGCTGTTCCATTAAACGACAAAGAAGGCTACCATGACAGTGGCCTCCAGCCTTGCTCGATCGGTTTGCAACTGGCTAAACAATTGAGTAATTCAATTTCATTTTAACTTAAACAAAACAGATTCAAATATTTTCTTTCTCGCGCTACTCATAGGCCAACCTGGTTTTGAGGAAGTTCGTGTTTTCTGGCTCGATCCATCATCGGTACTGGCGACAAACCCATCTGCTTCTCTTCGTCTCCCTATTAGGCACAAACGAAAATCAATCGCAAACAGGCCGAAGGAATCAAACAAAAAACATAGCACTAGTTTTGAAACGACTAACTGAGTCTTAGGGGATTGAAAATGTGCGGACCTCTCTTATTGTTTTGCAATTCGTATAACAGCGTTGTACTCTTTTGGGGGTTATTCACTAACTGAGAAGAGAAGAAGTAACGGACCATATTCGTATTCTCGGCACTGGACTGGAACGAGCTTACAGTGGAGGCTCATGCGGGAGAATATCATTAAAAAGAGATTAATGTCATTTGCATTTGAAAGCACTCCCTGCATTAGCCTCACTTGCAAGCTAGTTCCAGTCCAATACCGGGAATGAATACGGCCTATTGATCTCAACTTTTGCATCGCTGAATAACCGACGATGGTTAAGTGGGTGAATGATTCTTAAAAAAGGGACGAAGACGAGCCTAAAAAGCGTCTGCGTAACAGGCTAGACGAAGCTTTGTTTTCTCAGAACCGGAGATAGGAAGTAGGTTAAAAAGAAAAAAAGTTACGCCCTTTTACCTAGGAAAGACAAAAATCTACCAAAAATCTTTAGTTAATAAAGACAAAAATCTACAGAGGATGCAAAGACACGTACTTGCAGATAAAATTCTTCAGACACCTTCTTGACTGATTTGACGTGAATGTACCACGGCTTGGCAGACGTGTTCAAGTCACACGCGGTCATTAATAGGCGACGAACAAGTTTCCTGGAAGGAAGCTTCATGTTAGCGTCATTAATTGTAACCATGGTGCACAAGCACTGTTTTACGAAACAGATGGAGTATACATAGATGTAGAATATATGAAGGGGCTAGTGAAGAAATGTACAACGAACGGAGTGCATACGGAAGTTCACCGTGTTAAATAAAAGTACCTGCCTACCGACCCGGTAGAGTGAGGCCTCTATACGCGGGGGGACGAGTAAGGGGTGGGAATGTTTAGGCGTGGCCAAGAGATAGGGTACGAAAGGTAGTCTGGGTCAGGCCAGCGGCTCATACAACTGGAGCTGGGAGTATTTCTTCTCCCCTTAGATGTCCATCGCGGCCTTAACTCAGTTCGCCGGCATCCAATTATACATCTGGGTGAAAAAAGGCATTACGAGAGTACAATGTCTTGCCCAAGAACACAAGGCGATGACTCAGGCTAAGGCTCGAACCCGGGCTGCACGATCCAGAGTGCACCGCGCTAACCATCAAGCTAACGCGTCTCCGGGTTGACTAAAAGTCCTATATTCTGGTCACTTATCGAATTTATTATAAAGGCAATGCCATGTTCAACTCCTCGGCAACGCTAAATATCAACTAATTAATGTTCAGTTTATGTTCAGTTTGCAATGACAACGAACAAAAGAACTGAAATTTATCCCACTTAGGACATCACTAGATATTTGCAGCCCTCGCCAAAGAAAAGGCGGTTCAGCTGGATCCTAGCTTCGCTCATTTTATTAGCGATTTACATTACAGTAGTACCTGTGATCTGGTGTATTCCAACTGAATTTGTTGTTCTTGATAATATCGTCGAGCTTAGCTCTGTTGTCGAAGAACAACATTAAATCCGTCGCTAGGATGGCGTCTTCCATAAGTTCCAGTACATGCTTGTATTGCTTCGCCGACAGACTGCTTAAAACATTGTGACCGTCCGTCTACCAGAGAGAGGAAAAAGAGTGAATAAATAAGGTAATCGGTAATAAATAAATAAGGTAATCGTATGAATGCGAGTGCAATTAAGGATCTACACCACGAGTGATATTTGAAAATTCTCTCAAAGTTGCACGAGCTTTCAGGCTAATGCAATTTGACATAATTTTCAAATATCACGAGTAGTGTAAATCCTTAATTGACCGAGCCTTCATGCGATTACTCATTTATTTTATGACTGAGAAAATAATTAAGAATTAACGATAAATTGGCCTGCTCTCAGCCAATCACAGTGAAGTAATTTTCTCAGTCATAATAATAAATCGAGTTATAGAATCTCGAGGGGAAATATGGAAGAAAGAGAAACCCAGTAGAAACACGAGGGTCCACGAGCCATGAACGAGTATTTCCATAGAAAAAAGTAACATAGAGTGATTGTCTACAAAGAGAATAGTTGATTTTAGACTAATTTAATTATTAGCAGGCGAAAAGATATCTTCTCTCGACTTGCTATTAATAATGGTAATAGGACTGAGTGGAGTCCAATTCGGTCTGTAATCATACGAGTGATTAACAAAATCGGACGACCGCGAAGCGGG